CTGATCATTCTCCACACCAGTTCCTGTGTCTCACCCCAGTGCAAGCTGCTTCCCAGTGGATTTCCCTCCTGTGAGCAGCTCCAGCTTCTCCCTCAGCTGTGGCCAGCACCAGCCCTGCTGGAGGGATCCTGCAGCTGCACCAGGAATGGCAGGGCCAGCCAGAACCCAGCTGGGCAAAGTCCACAAATCCACTCCAGTACCGAGATGGGCACTGGGATCCTCACCCAGCCCCATCTCCCCATCCCCAGCGTCCCCCAAGCCACATCACCCTGGCAGGGAGAGGGAAGACAGCTTCCAAAAACGTGAGGGCTGTAACAGCTCACCAAAAGAATGTGTTGCTCGTGAATTGGTGTTGTGCTTGTGAATTGGTGTTGTGTAAACAGCTCCTTTTCCCTTTGGAGGGGCTAATTCAGCTGGCAGCACAAACCCCACACAGCAGATGAAAAATCACTTCCTCATAAGCCCAGCTCCAGATCAAATGATTGTGACTCTCCTTGACTGTTGACTTTGCTTTGATTCAGAGTTTACAGCTCCTTGGTACTCTTTAGTGTGACAACAACCACCTGTATGAGCCACAAAGGTGACTCCAGACCTAATTTAATCCTGGTTCTTCATCTTCCCAGCTCCTCACGGGAACCACAGCTGCTCCCAGTCGTGTTATCAGCTCTGCTTTTGCTGGTTTGCATCACCATCATCGTCCTCACCCTGGCCAAAATCAAGCTTCAAAAGCAGACAGGTAAATTGGCCAGGCAACACGTTTTGGGGCTGCGGTGGTTGTTTTGCAAGGGCTTTGCTTGTGATTTCCAAGGGCTGGAGTCTGACCCATGGAATATTTCCATCTCCCAGACACGTGTCTGGTCTGCAGCCCCAGAACGTGGCTGCACCTGCAAGCAAAGTCCTTGAGAAGTTGTTTGGTTTTGTTTGAAACGTGCTCAAACACAAAGCAAATGAAGGAAATGGAAATGCTGGAGCTAAAAGCAAGGCTGGGTTTTTGGGGGTAGAGATTTGTGGCTCCTTGGGTGACAGAAAATCCTGGTGGGAGGGACCTGTGTGGTGTGACTGCTTCACTCTGGGCAGCTTCTGGGGCCAAATCAAGCTCATTCTATGCAAAGCTGACAAAGACAGGCCCAAAAAATCCTTTCTAAGTACTGATTTGCAAAGATAGGTGCATCTGTCTCAATCCAGACCGTGTAATACCCATAGAAATAAATTTAGGGACAGAAAATCTTCAATAATGACAGCAGTGAGGGGAAACGCACAATTCAGAAGACGGAAACTGTGAAATAATGGCCTAAAATTGGCCTAATTTGGTGTCTGACACGCTGGAATACTTCAAGAGGTGCTGGTGGGGGTGTTCCCGGCAGTGCATCCGTGTGTTTTGTTTTACAGGAGGAGGAAGAAGCAGCACAGGGAGCCTGGAGCCAGCTTTAGCCTGTGCTGGGCTGAGCCCTGGCAAGGAGGAAAGGATGGAGGAGAACCCGAGCCCAGGAGAGCAGCAGGAATTCAGGATGAGCTTTGTAGGCAAATGTAGGTGGGTGTTTGCTGAAACTGGCGCTGTAAGTGTCCTCTCTCTTGATAAAAGAGAATAAACTGACATTTTAAGCAGGGGATTTGTGGCTTAGTAAGGAAAAGCAGGTTTGCAGTCCAGGAATCACAACCCACAGCCCAAGAATCACATTCTGCTGCCAAACTCCTGCCTTTACTACTTCCCAAGAAACCTTAAGGCATGGATTTCATAAGACTTGGATTAAATCGTACATCAAGTTTATATATTTACTGTAGGGTCGATTATAATTTTTGATTGCAAGCAGTAAAGCTGTTATCTCGCTTCCTGCCTCTTTCAGTAAATTCTGATTTCATATCTCCTTTCTCAGCATTAGACAAAAGTAATTATTGTTCTCAGTGTTGCAACCATGTCATTCTCTTTTGTTCTGTTGTGCAGGACAATCTCTGCTATCCTTGGAACTATCAGGATGACCAGCTTCTATGTAAGAGTCTCAGATTGTTGATGCTTTTTAGAGAAAAGCTCCTGTAAAAATCATCTCAGAAAATATTTTAAACTGTATCTAATCTGGAGGAATTGGTACCAGTGAGAAGGACTCCACTGAAAAAAACTAGTGGAATAGTGGCTCAGAAATTTGGTGATTTCATGTTCTCACTCCAATGCACCCACAGCCAACAGGGGTCTTCTGGTCCTAAATATAAATAATAGAAAGAAAAATTACACTTCCACTAAAACCTTGCAAATCAACTATACTATCAATATTCTGTGAAAAACTCCTAAAAGGGAGAATAAAACCCAGAAATTATTTGTGTCTTTCCTTCTCAGCTGTCTGAGCTGGGGTAAGCCTGGGATAATTCTGTAAACCCAGCAGGAAGTTGACTCCAGAAGTCCCCTCTGACCTGGGTTTTTCCACCTTTCTCTTCTCAAAACTCCCTAAAATGTAATTTTAAATACCAAGTTTGGCATAAACCCAGAAATACCTATGAAATTACTTCTACAAATACCAGAAAGAGGCAATTTCAGATCACAGCTTCTCTTGTGTTTCATTATTTTACAGTTATCCTATGGGGAAAAATTACTTTTCAAGGTGCCTGATGAAGACTTGAGCCAGAACCTTCTGTGAAAGCCCCTGGGTACCCGAGCTGGGAATTTTCTCTGTGGAAAGCCAAGCCCCCAACACCTCCCCCATAACTCCTCAGAACCCAAATCCTCTTTGCTGAGAGCTGAACCCCCACCCTGCCCAAACTGCTCCGTGTTTTACAGAAGAGAGAATAAAATAGCGCCCTGAAACCAGCTCTTTGTGGGTTGTTTCTCTGAGGGAAAGGTAAAACTGGAGAGGGGTAGGGAAGGAAGGACCTTTGTTGCTTCAGGGTTGCTCATATCAGAGAATCACAGAATTGGAAAGAATCCGTCTGCTCAAAAAAATAAGGATTTTTTGTGTTATTTTTAAAAAATCTTGATCCACAGAGTCATTTTCCAGCACATAAACCACGTTTTGTTTCAGTTTCTCAGACACCAATGTTCCCAAAGTGCTGTTTTTCCTTCACCTCTCCTGCAGGGACATCCACAGCTGCAGACCCAGCTGAAATCCAGCCCAAGCACAGCCCAGCCCCGAGCAGCAGCGTTGGTTTCACGCTCAGATCGGGGCTCATGCTGCAATCTGCACTCCCCAAATAAAAGCAATCCGAAGGTTGTTTGTTTTCTGGAGATGCCAAAATGCTTTGGAACCTGGGACTTGGCAGGGAAACGCTTCCTCGTGTGCTAAAGCAAGGAAACACATTTCAAATATATTTGCATGAGGCAAGGGGTTGGTTTTACTGGAAACCTTGAGGGTGAAAAGGGGGGTTTGGTTTAAAAAAAAATTCTGCATTCACCTTGGATTAATTTTTTTCTCCTTGAAATGCAGCAGCAGGTAGAGGTTCTCATATTTCTGCCAGGTTTTCCTCTGCCCAGACCATCCCACCTTCTTCTGCAAGGTGTTAAAAGCACATTTCCATCCCTCTGCAGGGTCCAGCAGGGAAGCTGATCCTGAGGGATCCGTGCCTGGGAGAGTGGGAGCTCCAGGAGAGCAAACACAGCTGTGTCCACCGTGGTCCAGCCAGCACAAGTGGTGGCCACGAGGCAAAAAAAGTCATGCCAGCATGACCTGGGGAATGTTTGGAATGCCCAGGGAAGCAGCACTGGTGGGAAGCTTGGAGGGGATCAGGGTTTGTTCCCATCGAGGAGAGGTGGCTGCTCCCTCAGTCCATGATCCCCACCAAGCACAGCCACAGCCAAGAGCTCCTTCCTCGCCCCAAAAGATCCTTTCTCACCCCATAAAACTCCTTCCTCACCCCAAAAGATCCTTCTTCGCCCCAAGAGCTCCTTCCTCACCCCAAAAGATCCTTCCTTGCCCTAACAACTCCTTCCTCACCCCAAAAGATCCTTCCTCACCCCAAGAGCTCCTTCCTCACCCCAAAAGATCCTTCCTTTCCCCAAGAGCTCCTTCCTCACCCCAAAAGATCCTTCCTCACCCCAAAAGCTGCACAATCACAGAAGAAATGGAGCTCAACACCCTCAGCTAAATAAAAGGTACTTCCAGGGCTGGCTTTAGGATCTGATAAATCTGTTGAAGATCCCAATTCTGGGTCAGGCTCTTGCAGCTCCCAGGCACTACAGGAGCTGCCACCCTCTTCAAACACATCAGTTTTCACTGAGTGGGTGAGAAAAGCTCCAAGTGACTGCCCAGTCAGAAGGAATTCCTGCTTCTGCATCATTAAAACAAGGCAGAGCAAGGAATCACAGCTGCCTTGGCTGCTCGGGTCCTGCCTGGGCAAAAAGCTGGCACAGAGGTACCCAAAAGACTCTTCATGCCCTTGACCCCAAAGAGCCACCAAGCTCCTTCCCAGAGGAGGAGGAGGAACCTTGGGCCTTTCCTGGGAGCCCCCCAGCCCTGGGGTGGCTGTGATCAGAGGGGACACCCTGGAGGGACAGCAGAGCTGGGCTGGGCATTGGCCGGGCGTGGGCTGGACATGGGCTGGGCAGTGGCTGGGCATAGGCTGGGCAGTGGCTGGGCTTTGTCAGGGCAATGTCTGGGCTTTGACTGGGCAGTGGCGGGCTTTGGCTGGGCTTTGGCTGGGCAGTGACTGGGCAGAGGCTGGGCTTTGGCTGGGCTTTGGCTGGGCAGTGGCTGGGTTTTGGCTGGTCTTTGGCTGGGCTTTGGCTGGGCAGTGGCTGGGTTTGGCTGGGCAGAGGCTGGGTTTGGCTGGGGCTTTGGCTGGGCTTTGGCTGGGCAGTGGCTGGGTTTGGCTGGGCTTTGACTGGGCAGAGGCTGGGTTTGGCTGGGCAGTGGCTGGACAGTGGCTGGGTTTGGCTGGGCTTTGGCTGGGCAGTGGCTGGGCTTTGTCAGGGCAATGTCTAGTCTTTGGCTGGTCTTTGGCTGGGCTTTGGCTCCCAGCCCCAAGAGGGCAGAGCTCACCTGGCAGCACTGCTGGATGTTGTTCCTTTAAGGCACAACAGGTGGAAACACAGGGCTAAAGGTGCAGGGAGTATTTAAAGCAGGTTGGCACTGCCACAGCCCCACGGGGACACAGGACACTCACAGCAGCTCGAGGGTCAGCCTGAGAGGGAAAGAGAGAAGTGCCAGGAGGAGCCTGGAGTGTAAGTAATGCTGCTTTGGCATCTTTGGGAGTGCACAACCTTCTGTAGGGCCGTGCTGGGATGGGGAAGGAGAAGAACACGAGTCTTGAGCCACTTTTGAGGAGCCTTCCTCACACGGGAGGGACGCAGCAATTTGGAGCCATTTCATGTTCAGAGCTCACTGGTGGGAGGCTGATGTCTTCTGAAAGAACCATAGGAACAGGCTTATGGCAGTTATGGTTTCTTCTCTGCAGCAGATTTTTAATATTCAATTTCTGGAAGAAAAAAACCAACCAACATTAATTATCACTACAATATTTGCATTAAGTTTTAACATAGGAAAGAAAAGTCAGTAATTATTGCTGTAGTAATCTAAATTTTGCGACTCAGCCTCAGGTCATTACTGGCTTTTGAACCCCAACAGGCACATTTTGAAATTTTAGGAGAATTGTTGCAGTTGTGTCCTAAAGTAGCTGCTTTGGAAGCTCTCTGAGAAGTTTGCACAGTTACAGGAGGATAAGTAGAACCTGAAGCTTAAATGGATGGACTGGATGTGGTGTCCTAAAAGCGAAATCAGAGGAGCCTGGCAGAGCTCTGTCCCACTCAGACCTGTGAAGTTGTGCGTCCTACACACCTGAATTCCTACTCTGCAAAGGGAACATTCCTATAGATTTAATAGATTTCTGAAGTGCAAATAAACATCGCCTAATTTCAATTGTTAATGAACCCACAGTGGCACCATCCATCCCTCCAGACTGAGGTGGACGTGTGCTCTTGGGCCATAGGATGTTCCTCCTCCTTGCAGGTGGTAGAGAATTAAACGAAAATAATTTACTAGTGCTGAAGCTGGTTTCACTTTCCAGCCCAAGAAACAAATGAACCATGAAGGTCTGATCTGAAAAGCAACAAGTGGGTGTATGGAGGATCTGAAAGGAACAAAAAATCAGTCCCAGGTTATTGTAGAGTGGATCCAACAGCTGAAAGGAACATAAAATTGGCCAGCAGCACAACCTCAGCTGGGATTGCAGTCATTGCCATGAGAGCTGGCTGTTTATTCTATTTTATTTCTTTTCTGAAATAAATTGCTCATATTTTAACTGACACAAACGATTCTTAGTTCAGAGGGTCCCAAGCACTGCAGGCGTTCCTAAAAACTGCTGATTCTTGGTTAATCCTGATAATCTTCAGCAAGTTCTACCTAAGTGTTTCTGCTCACTGCACCACCAAACGAGCCCCTCTTATTTATTCTCTCAATATTGTAAAGGAGGCATCTGCTTGGAACTGGAAAAGTTTGTTTTCTGAACGTGTTTGGGTCAGCTTGATTTTATATCTGGAAGTTGATTGCTCATTCTTAACCCCATGGAAATGGGGTGGTTTAGTGGCTTTTCCCCATTCCAGCAAATAAAACCATGGCAGCAAATAAAACCCATAGCAAGGCAAGATCAGCAGTGACCTTGATGGGCAGTTGAAGATGTGAATAATCCAAATGAAATTTGTTTCTGTGCCCTTTTTCTGGGCACAGAAGCCTCCAGCACCTCCTCACAGCACAACTCTCTCTACAACAATTTGCATCTGCACACCTTCCCCATGGGTGAAAAGGATTTGAGGGGCAAAATATTACCTATATATAAAATATATAGAATATATGCAATATATTATATCTCTGTTGTTATTTCTCAACTATTTGAATAGGAGCAAACAAAAAGCCAGAAAGGATCCCAGGCTGGAGTGACAAATGTCACAATTAAACCTTCGTGTTTTGTCAATGCCATGGCACGGCCTTGACACTGGTCATTGTCAGGAGCAATAGTTAATATCTAATGGGCTGGACTGGGCTGATCCCTGGCAATCCCTGCAGCAGGAATTCAGCAGAATTTGGGAATTGGACTCTGGTGTTCCATACCCAAACAGAGCAGCTGCTGGCTCAGGTTTGCACAACTTGGGGGTCAGGTCCTGGTCTCTCCCAAATCATCATAAATCTGAAGATTGTCCCCAGGACTGACAGAATCCCAAAAGCACAGCAGAAACATGGGGAAAGTCTTGTAATGGAGGAGATTTGGAAAAGCCAGCATGGCCAGAGAGCACTGCTGCTGGAAACATGGAAAATATCAAAATTTAGGCATAAAATGACACTGGAGAGGAAAGTGATGGTCCCAACCCACGTCCAGAGAAGTGTCCTGGAAATGACCATCAGCCATTTTTAAGGGTAAAGACACTAAAATCACATCTCTAAAGAGGGCCTGGGAGGGGGCTCTGCCCTCCCCAGGGCTTTACACACAGCACTAAAATGTCCTTGTCACCCAGTGGAGCTGCAGCGAGCTTTAGAGCCCAGCACGAAATCAAAACAGAAAGTGTTATTCCTTCTCAGAACCGCACGAAGACAACAACAACAACAACAACAACAACCAAATTATCTGTCCTCATTTGGAAAGCAAGAGGAAAGGTCATTCTGTTGCAATTTTCCCATTTACATTTTAAGAGCATCTGAGAAAACAGGGCTGGAGACAGTTCAGAGCTGTAGGTTTTGGTGGTGCAAGAGCACAGGAGCCACTGGTTTGGGTGGGCACAGATCTTGGTAACCCTGCCAGACCTGACAGAACAACGTGGGCTGTACCCCAAAACCAGCTGAACTTTTAGAAGAAATGAGAATAAGAGGTTATTTCAACTTTGCCCAAACAGGCAAGGCTGAGCTGGGGCCTGCTTGCAGCACAGGCTGGGGGGCAGTGAGGTGACCATCAGGCAGAGGAGCTGCTGTCAGCCAGGGGCAAACATCAAGGCCCTCTTTGTGCCACGTTGTTTGCTTTGTGCAGAATTTGTTATGTTTGCCTTGCTGGCTACTTCTGGGATGTGTTTGAAAGAGAATTTTTCATGCTCAGTGAGTTAATTATTAGCCATGGACAAGTGGCCATTGAGCAAGGAGAAATCACAATACAAGGAAGAGGCACAACAGAACACCTTTCATCTTAACAGGGAAATAAAAGCTTTTTTCTCCTGCCGGGAATTACCCTTAATAAAATTGTGTCACTTGATGCCCTGAAATCAAATTCCTCTGATTGTTTATAAGGGTTTTCCTTGGCACCTCTCATCAGCTCCTGTAGGTGCCTTCTATGAACTTGGAACAGGCAGGCGGATCAAGAGGTGTGCTCAGGAAATGCATATAAAATCTGATTTTTGGAGGAGCAGAGCTCACTCAATTCCTCAGCAGCTGAGGAAAGAATTAAAAAGCAGAGGTGAAAATATCATCCTTTTTCTCTTTTGTGTGTCCTTGGAGAGACCAGAGAAACAAAAGGTCACTAAATAAAGGCTCCAGCCAGGAATTCTGTGACAGAGGGAATATTGGGATGCTGGAATGAGATCCATGGTTCCTGTTCCTGTGCAGCAGCCCAGGCAAGAACAGAAATATTATTAACTCTCTTTTCCCCATCCAATTCCTCAACAGAAGCAATTAAAAATATGAAAATATTTCTCTCTATTTCACGTAGCCACGACCCTCATATCCTCCAAGCATGAAGATTATTAGATGATCAACATTTTGCAAATGTGATTGTTCAATATCTTCCACGTCTTTTCCAGGGAATGCAAGAAAAATGACTTTACTGGCGTTCCTTCTCCTGCTCGCCTTGGTCCCAGCTGGGTCTGCAAGAAGCAGACACCTCCCCAAGGCAGCCAGTGAGTGTCACCTGCCTGGGCGCAGGTTTTGGGGTGCCCAGGGACCAGACGTGGCACTGGGAAGGGAGGAGGGGGGTCTGGGTGACGCCGACAGCAGGCTTGAAAAGATAAAGATAAAGATAAAAAGATAAAAGTGGATGTATTTAATGAAGGGCCTTCAGGTACATTGAGGGCAGATGAAGCCTCGCACAAGGCTACACCCAAAATGGATGATGGTCATGAGTTTCTTGAAACAGAGGCCAGACAAAAAGTTAAAAATATAAAGGTGGATGTTTTTAACAAAGAGGCCAGACAAAAAGTTAAAAAGATAAAAGTGGATGTATTTAATGAAGGGCCTTCAGGTATGTTGAGGGCAGATGAAGCCTCCCACAAAGCTACACCCAAAATGAACAATATTTCCCAAAACCAGCTTTTTGAGTTTCTCGAAAGAGAGGCCAGACAAAAAGTTAAAAAGATAAAAGTGGATGTATTTAATGAAGGGCCTTCAGGTACATTGAGGGCAGATGAAGCCTCCCACAAGGCTACACCCAAAATGGACAATGTTTCTCAAAAACATCTTTTTGAGTTTCTCAAAACAGAGGCCGGACAAAAAGTTAAAAAGTTAAAAGTGGATGTATTTAATGAAGGGCCTTCAGGTACGTTGAGGGCAGACGAAGCCTCCCACGTGGCTACACCCAAAATGGACAATGGTTATGACTTTCTCAGAGTGAAATAAGTTTGGTCCATTTGCACATTCTGCAATTCCACCTTCGGGTATTGAAGGCAGATACCCCCAGTTTGCTCCCTCAAAACTCACTCTTGTTTATACTTTTGGGGCCTGAGGCAGAGGGCGTCCTTGAGCTGCAGGCCCAGAGGGATTTTTGTCTGGCCAAAATGTGAAGAGAGCTTCTAACACTCAATATGCACTTCAGAGCTCTACACTAATGCAGTACAGGATCTGAAAAATATAAAAGCTAAAATCTGAAGGCACCATGGGGAAGACTTTTATCTCGCGGGTGCCCCTCACTGCTACGAGACGTGGGCCCCTGGTGGCATACAGAGCCCTGGGGCACACAGAGCACTGACCCCAGCCTGTTCTCCCCGCAGTCTCCAGCCCCGTGTTCGGCCCCCGGGAGGTGCACGGCGTGCTGGGCGGCTCGGTCACCGTGAAATGCTTCTACCCACCCACCCCGATGAACAGACACGACAGGAAATACTGGTGCAAGCAGAAGGGCTCCAGCTGCCTCACCGTGGTGTCCACTGACTACGTGGCTCCCGGCTACCAGGGCAGAATCGCCCTCACTGACCACCCCGAGGCAGAACATTTCCTGGTCAACATCTCAGCGCTGGAGCTGAAGGATGCTGGCACCTTCCAGTGTGGCATGGGGGTCAATGGCAGAGGGCTCTCCTACAGAGTCACTCTCAGTGTTGCTGAAGGTAATTACAACTTTGGGATTCCCTAAAACACCATTTCCTTGGTCTTTTACCAAAATTAGGACTCCCCCAAATACCATTTTCTTGGTCTTTTACCAATATTAGGACTCCCCCAAATACCATTTTCTTGGTCTTTTACCAATATTAGGACTCCCTCAAACACCATTTTCTTGGTCTTTCATCAATATTAGGACTCCCCCAAATACCATTTTCTTGGTCTTTTACCAATATTAGGACTCCCTCAAACACCATTTTCTTGATATTTTACCAATATTAAGACTCCCCCAATTACCATTTTCTTGATATTTTACCAATACTAGGACTTTCTCAAACACCATTTTCTTGGTCTTTTACCAATATTATGACTTCCCCAAACACCATTTTCTTGGTATTCTACCAATATTAGGACTCCCCCAAACACCATTTTCTTGGTCTTTTACCAATATTAGGACTCCCTCAAACACCATTTTCTTTGAGTTTTTCCCTCTCTCCCTCTTAAACCTAAGTAATTACACCCTTGGGACTCCCTCAAATACCATTTTCTTGATATTTTACCAATATTAGGTCTCCCTCAAATACAATTTTCTTGGTATTTTACCAATATTAGGATTCCCCAAAACACCATTTCTTGGGTTTTTTGCCAATATATTTCCTAAAATACCATTTTCTTTGAGTTTTTCCCCCTCTCCCTCTTAAACAAGACTCCACCTCTGGCCTGCCCGGTGTGTGAGAGCTGCAGGTGCTTTCGGGGAGGGTTCATTTCAGCCCCTGTGTGTCTCTGTGCACAGCCCCACCTGTTCCTGAGGCACCTGAGCTCTTCTACGTGAAGCTCCGCAGCACGTGGACCGTGACCTGCGGCTTTGGGAAGGACACCGCCGCCATGAGGAGATACCTGTGCAAGAAGGAGAAGGAGGGCTGCCGGAACATTATTAACACCCATCAGGAGGAAGATATCCCAGCGAGAGTTCAGCTGACTCATGAGGACCCTGCAGGCTCGTTCCGTGTCACCATGACTCAGATGGACTGGGAGGATGCAGGCTTGTACTACTGTGGGGTTGGTGAATATGGCAAGGACAACACAAGCAAGGAACTGGACGTGTTCATCTACGAGGGTGAGCTCTTTCCCTTTCTCTCTCCTGCTTTTCAGAAGCATCACCAGCAGTTTCACTTTATTTAGCAAGAACTTGAATTTCTCTTTGCTATTATCCCATTCTCTCATCTACATACTTATTTCTATTCATTTAGCCACCTGTAATGTACTAAATCATCACTAAATGAAGGTTGTGTCCAAACTTCACCTTCCCAGAAGTGGATAGCTCTGTTCCCCAGCCCAAAACTTCAGGAGACAAATTCCACCCCCCCAATCTGATGCAAGCAAGCTGTCTCTTGAAGCCCCCAGTTCCTTAAATCTCAAACTGACAACTGTAGATGGTCCCTCTAGCAAAGGGAACAAAGCTTTGGAATATCTGTCCACAAAGCCAACAACGCTCAGTGAATTTGGGAAAAAGCAAGACCTGACCAACCCTTTAGGATGAATTCCCACCAGTGCCAGGACAATCTCCTGATGTGTGCACCCCTGAGCTTTGCCTGACCCTCCCTTAGCCATAGCAGCTTTGTTTGATCTGATAATGTTGATTTTCTTGGGAGGATGCCCCATGGACACAAGTGAGACTCTTATAACTGCTCATTTCATTCTCACCAACAGACAAAAATTTCCCTCACCTAAAGACCGAGATAACTGCAAAGAATGGAAGTTCAGCAAGCTTCGAGTGCCTCTATGACCCTCTAATAAATTCCTCCACGAGGTTCTGGTGCAAGCGGAGAGGCAGGGGCTGTGACATGATCATAGACAACATTGGGAATGTGAAGAGGACCTATGAAGGAAGAGTGGCCATGTTTGAGAACCCCGAAAACAAAACTGTCACCATCATCCTGAACCAGCTGCAGGAGAAGGACAACGGCAGTTACTGGTGCATGTCAAATGAGCTGAGGGATCTGCAATCATCAACAGAACTGACGGTTGTACCAGGTAAGAGCCGTGCCCTGGCAGCTCTCTGCCTGCTCAGGAGGTACAGACCCACCCCAAGTGAGCAGTGTGGCTTTTTGGGGAGAGACAGGAGCTCCAAGGCTGAACTCACTCCAGCAGCTTTAAAACTGAGACAGAAATTTCAGTTTTGTGGGAATGCATTCGCAGAAAATTCTCATGAAATATTTCTTAAGCCTTGCAAGAACAGAACAATAAACAGCATCTCTAATGTTAATTTAGCAACACAAGGAGCACTTTCCCTCCTGGCTCCATCCCCAGCAGCACCACCACCTGCTGCCTGCCTCCCCCACCCCTGAAACCTCTCCCAGCAGCCCTGATGTCCTGTTTGCCCTCGCAGGAGAACCTGCACTGACGGGAAAGAACATCGTGGAGGCACAGGCGGGCTCGCGGGTGAATTTAACCTGCTGCTACCCCTGCAAGTACTACTCCTTCGAGAAGTACTGGTGCAGGTGGGACAACACGGGCTGTGCCATGCTGCCAGCGCAGCAGCAGGGGCTGCCGGAGCCGGGAGACTCCTGTGACCGCTCCAGCAGGACGGCGGTGCTGAGCCTGGGCCCGCTGGCCGCGGAGGATGCAGGCTGGTACTGGTGCGGGGTGAAGCGCAACGGGCTCTTCGGGGAAACCATGGCCGTGGAGCTGCGGGTGAGCGCAGGTGAGTCCGCGCAGGCTGGCCCTGTGCCGCGGGGCGCTCCCCATCACCGCTAGGCTGCAGCAGCTCGAAGGAGAAGCGCTGGCACCCCGCAGCCAGGGGCCAGCAGCGCCCTGCTTCGCACGGCTCGCCTTCGGGGGTTTTGCCTCTCGAGTTCTGACTTCCCAGCCGTAACAAAGCTCTTTCAGTCTAAAACTCGCCTCTTTCCACAGCAATTTTACTTTTAGCCCAGTGCTGATTAATTGTTCCTATTACAATGTAATATTTTATTTTATAATATTTATTTTCATTGTTGATAAATAGTATTATCTATAATTATTATAATTATATATTATTATATTAATAATATATAATATATAATATATAATATATAATATAAAATATATAATATATAATATAATATATATAATATAATATAATAATATATTATTCTATTAATTATAGAATATTATGATAAATTTATAATATAATGATAATATTATATAATATTATCATTATAGAATTAATTCTAATAAATAACTTATAATTGCATAATAAATAATTATAATTAATAATGTATACTTTTATAATTATATGTAAGTATTATTGTGTTAATATTTAATAATAATTATTGTTATTATTTAATAATAACATAATAGATAATATATTATTTTCTAACATTATTTTATTTATTTTACAATATATTTATTTTGTTTTGTATTTAATTATATATGTATTATTATATTATTGAATAATATTATTCAATAATTATTATATTATAATTGAATAATAATTACTGATTATTATTATTTATAATAATATATTATTGTAATATTCTAGAATAGTATTTTATTTATTTTATAATATATTTATTTAGTTTAGGCAGCATCTGGCACCTTTCAGGTGAAGTTGACAGATCTTGCTGCAGGGAACTTATCTTAGTAAACATGAAGCCAGGAAGGAGCAGGAGAGGCTGACACCAACAGCAAGGGGCTTAGTCTCAGCTTTGGGTGAGTCCCTGCCTGTCTGGGCTCTCAAGAAACAGCAGCAGCATTGAGCTGAAGGTGCTGGGCTGAGCTGCTCTCCTGGTACCACACCAGAACAGGCAGAAAGGTCCCTGCTCCTCACACTGACCCATCCAGAGAGCTCCAACCCACTGCTCCTCACACTGCCCCATCCAGAGAGCTCCAACCCACTGCTCCTCACACTGCCCCATCCAGAGAGCTCCAACCCACTGCTCCTCACACTGCCCCATCCAGAGAGCTCCAACCCACTGCTCCTCACACTGCCCCATCCAGAGAGCTCCAACCCACTGCTCCTCACACTGCCCCATCCAGAGAGCTCCAACCCACTGCTCCTCACACTGCCCCATCCAGAGAGCTCCAACCCACTGCTCCTCACACTGCCCCATCCAGAGAGCTCCAACCCACTGCTCCTCACACTGCCCCATCCAGGGAGCTCCAACCCCCTGCTCTGACCCATACAGAGATCTCCAATCCCCTGCTCCTCCTGTGACCCATCCAGAGAGCTCCAGCTCCCAGAGTGTCCAGGCTGGGACAGAGCCCAGCCCTCCGTGGGCTTTGCCCCTTGTGCCACAGCATCACCTGGCACAGAGGGTTTGGCTCTTCATGTGCTCCCACCCACTCTGAGCAAGACCTGAGAGATTTTCCTCCTCCTTCTCACCAGACCTGGTGTCCGTGGGGAGCTACAGGACCAACATCAGCATGTCAGACTTTGAGAGCGTGAGGGACTTCAGTGCCAGCAACAGCGTGAAGGAGAGCCAGGAGACTGCCATGGGAGGGGACGGTGAGTGAGCCCAGCCCAGCCCCAGGGTCAGGGGCAGCCCTTCCTTGCTGAAATGCCCCACAAAAGCCACAGAAACACCTGCAAGCCTCTGCCCCCTCCCCAACACTTCTTTTCTCCCCCTGCAGAGTTCATCACCACCACGGACACTCCAGAAAGTGCTGCCAACACAACGAAGGCAAAAAGGGTAAGGGGAGGCAGGAGAGAGGCCACAGCCCTGGGAGATGTGGCCACAGCCCTGCAGTCTGTCCCAAAGGGGTTGTCTCCACCCAGGGGCTTTATTTATATCCAGGGGCTCTCCATTTTACCCAGATCCAGCCCCTGCTGAGATCAGGCCCTGTGGGTGGGGGGGTCTCACTCCTGTCCTCACTCCCTGTTTTAGCAGAGACATTAACAGCAGCCACTCTGCTTCAAGAAATAAACCAAGGCAGCCCCAGGCAGCATCAGGAAGGTTGGGCTTGTTACCAGAGATACAAATCACTGGGATAAACAGATGGCTGGAAACTATCACATCCCACTTCTCAGTGGTTCAGGGGACACAGGGAGGCAGGGAGGGCTCTGCCACTGCAAGAGCTGAGATTTGCTGTCATCTCTGCCTTTCCCCAGTTTTCTGTGCCTCCCCTCCTCTCCCCTTGGGTAAGATCATGGTGCAGTGGCCCCATTTGTCAGTGGCTGCAGGTGCCAGATTCAAGCCTGTGCTTTTCAAAGTCCCTACCAACAGGAGAGGTGTGGGTGTTGGAAGTGCCAGCAGCTGAACTGGAGCAATCAAGGAAACTGTCAGGACACCAGTAAAGGGGGAGCTGGATGCCAACACCCAGGGGCAAGCTTGCCAAGGAATCCCAAACCTAAAAGCTTTCGGGGTTGATGCTCACATCAGCACCAGTGTGAGCCGCTGGATTACCCCACTCCTGCAGTGTCCCCGTGTTATCCTGGGATATCCACAAAGTGCTGCCCATCCCCATCTCCTGACTGTGTCCTCCTGTCCTTCCCAGAGCTCCAAGGAGGACGCTGACCTCGCCTACTCCTCCTTCCTCGCCACCTCCAGCAGCATCGCCCAGGGTTGCTCCGGGGGGGACAGCGCTGCCCTGGACCTGTCCCCACCCCAGGACCGCGTCTGAGGGGAGGTGGCACCGCCTGGGTCTGGCTCTGCCTCGAGGATCACAGTGTCAGCAAACAACTCTGTTCATTTCTCCCACAATTTGCTATAGCTTGACCTGTTTTTTGCTTAAATTCAGCTTCGAGTGGTGATTTAGGAGGAATGGTTTGATGCCAAGGGGGGCTGGAAGTGCAGGTCTGAGTGAGAAGGTTGGGCTTGGAAACAGCGGGAATTTGAGGGACTCATCCCACCAGCAGCCCCAGTTCCTACACTGAGCTCTCACAGGCCAGAAGGAGCATTGTGAAAAAAAAAAAAGGGAAAAAAATTCCCATTTTCTTTTAAAGGCAGCTGGAAAACCCTTTAGAATAGCATCTGATTTGACAGCTTTTGGTTCCTCTGAGCTTTCCTGACCTGAGGGCAGCACCTGCAGGCCAGATGCGTCTGGAGCGTTTGTGTGCACGGGCAATAAAGAATCCAGTGGCTTTCAGCAGACTGGGGCACTCAGCGTCTGTGGGATATCACAGGAGAGCCCACCCAGAGAGGCACAGAAAGGGTGGGAAAAGCTGAAATTCCACAGATAAAACAGTGCAGGAAGAGGTGACAATGGCAGGCTGGGTTATATGGCCGACACTGAATTTCATTGAGGATAAACACAAATTATTCCTGAACTGTGGGTTGCAGAATTTCGCTGAGGGTGAAACACAAATAATTCCTGAACTGTGGATTTTCGGTGCTGGGATGAGCAGGGCAGCATCTCCCTCCTGCTCACCAGCTCTCACATCCACATTGCACCTTCCTGCCAGCCCTCAAAGGGAGGCCAGGGCTCACCTGCCCCTCCCCAGGGCTGCATCCCCTCAGCAGCGCCGTGGGAAGGGGTTTGGGTCTCGGGAAAGGCGGGGAGGGGCCGGGTCAGGTCCGTGAAGGGCCGAGACAGGTCCATTGAAGGGCCAGGACAGGTCCGTGAAAGGGACCGGGACAGATCCGTGAAGGGGTGGGATAGGTCCGTGAAGGACGCAGGAAAGGTCCGTGAGGGGCCAGGATGGGTCCGTGAAGGGCCGAGACAGGTCCGTGAGGGGCCGGGACAGGTCCGTAAAAGGGACCGGGACAGATCTGTGAAAAGGACCGGGAGAGGTCCGTGAGGGACCGGGACAGGTCCGTGAAGGAGGCAGGACAGATCCGTGAGGGACCAGGACAGGGGGCCGGGACAGGTCCGTGAGGGGGCTGGAACAGGTCCGTGAGGGACCGGGTCAGATCCGTGAGGGGGCCGGGACAGATCCGTGAAAAGGACTGGGACAGATCCGTGCTGGGACCGGGACAGCAGAAGGAGCATTGTGAGACAGGTCCGTGAGGGGCCGGATCAGGTCCGTGAGGGACCGGGATGGGTCCGTGAAGGGCCAGGACAGGTCCGTGCTGGGACCGGGACAGGTCCGTGAAAAGGACCGGGACAAGTCCATGAGGGGGCCGGGACAGGTCCGTGAGGGGCCGGATCAGGTCCGTGAGGGACCGGGATGGGTCCGTGAAGGGCCAGGACAGGTCCGTGCTGGGACCGGGACAGGTCCGTGCCGGGCCCAGGACAGGTCCGCGCCCGCCCGGGCCCGGGAAGGGAGGGAATGCCTGACTCAAGTGCAACAGGAAAGACGTGAGCCTGGAAAGCATCCCCGGCGGGCAGCAGCGGCAGGAGAACGCTCGGGTTTGGAAATTTCTCAGAGGAGAAAACCCCTTTCGCTCTCCCTTTGCAAATCCTCTTCCTCCTCAGCCTGCCCCACGGCGTCCTTTCCCCAGCTCCGCTCCTCCCTCGCTGCCCTGGGAGCTGAACTCCGGGAGAGGAGCAGGGGCTGGCAGACAGGGTGGGCTGAGCGTCCTGCAGCCCTCAGCCCTGCTGTGCCCCCCGCTCCTTCCCACTGCTGGCATTTAATTAACTGTTCTTATTGCAATGTGTAGCGTCATTTAGTTTAGGCAACATCCGGCACCTTTCAGGTGAAGAACTGATCAAGTTCACAGATCTTGTTCCACAGAACTTCATATCTTAATAAACATGAAGCCAGGAAGGAGCAGGAGAGGCTGACACCAACAGTGAGGCTTAGTCTCAGCTTTGATGGAGTATTTTGGAATTGAAATGGTTTTGGGTGGAGGAATATTGCTAGAAACAGAGAAAGAATAGAGCCCTGGGTGTCTGATATTTACCATCCTGAGTGGGTGATGGCCCTGGGTGCTGCCGTGCCCTGCAGTGGGGACAGAAGTGTAAAATCCCTGGTTTAGGTGATGGCACTGAGGCAGGCATGGGCTGAGGGGTGCAGCACCCAGGGAGTGATGGATGGGATGAGCTGTAATGGTTGTGAAGCTGAAGGTGTGGAATAAACCCCTCAAGCTGTGATCCAGAGCCCACAAAGATCCCTGAGGAACTCACCAAACATCTCCTGCTCCTTCAGCATGTGCCAGCTGATTTCCTGGGGTCAGGGACAAGCTGTGGCACCTCACTGCATCCCAGGGGTTGTCCTTCAACAGAGAACCATGGAATGTTCCAGACACCTGTCATTCCTAGCAGAGTGATGGAGCTGAACCATCAGCTCTCCTGAGCACTGCCAGAGCACGGTGAGATGTGTTCTCCTGTTCGTGCCCTGACACCTGGACAAATGAAACCCATGGGAATGTGAATTAACAGAATCAAAGCCCTGAGAAGCTTTCCTTTGGCATCAGCAAATATCTGAGGGAGGACAGGGAGCAGTCAGAGATCTTTCCTTTGAAAGGGACCAAATGTCACCCAGCCTGACACTTGTGCCACAGGGAAATCCTGGTGCTGTCCCCCAGCTGGGATTTAGGGTACCAGCAACACCCAGAATGGGAGAGAACACACCAGAGCTCTAAATAATGCACAGTTTTGGGGACAAACTGAGGGGATTTAGCAGCACTGAGGCCTGAGTTTGGTGTTTCTGGCGTGCCCGGAAGGATGCATCAGCCCTGGCATGCTGGAGTGACACCATCTGCTGTAGGAGGACACCACAGAGAATTCAGAATGTTTCACCAGCAAGAATCATATAATTCCTCAGAATTTTGACAAACAGACTCAGCACAGTTTCAAGTTGGGTTTATTTATGGTCATCACAACCAATTTCCACAAAACTCACTACTGAGTGTCAGTAAATTGCTCAATACACTCAAAAACCTTTTTCTATTCAGCAACCACATATCTTGCACAGAAACTTTTTTACTGATAAGGCAGAAAATATCATCTCAAAAGGAAACACAGATTTCTAAGTCCTGACATACCTGCTAGGACCTATTCTTGGAAGCATTTCCCACACTGTACTTCTCATTTCAGCCAGATCCATCAGTGGCAGCAGCCCTGAGACCGAGCCCAGGTTTATGCAACATCAGCTGCAGCAGAGCCCTCCCAGCCAGCTCTCAGCACTCCTTCCCCACATTCCCTAGGCAAAATATCTGTAATTTAAACAAGAATTTTATGACATGATCACAGCTTATGTCTGCCAGCAAGAGAAACACTTGTGCGTTTTCCCTGGGAGCCTCCTTTGGTAGCAGTAAGGGTGATGCTGATTTAATCAATCTCGTTATTTTTGTCTTAATGAAGATTCTGCTGATGTCCCTGGCTGGTAAAGCTTTCCATGTTTGCCTGAATGCAGCTGGAACTGCTGGGGAGCTGCACTGATACAGTGATTTATTGTCCCTCTCATCTCTGCAAAGCCCCTGCAGCTCCTCAGCCCCGGCCCGTGGGTAATTAACACCGCCCGCTAACGAGATTTCTCCATCCAGTCCAGGAGGATGTCCAGCTCCCCCAGGGATTTCATGGCTGCAGATGTGACATTCAGCTGAAATGATATTTAAAAGAATGAGCTGTAAGCCAGCACCATCAGTACTACCCAACATATAGAGAATTTAAATATCTGCATTAATAATAATATATATTATATATATATTATAATATATATAAATAATAATAGTGTGTGTGACCAGGCTCAGTCACCAACTCACCCCTTCATAGTTTGCAAGTATTTGTTTGAATTTCTCCGTGGCTTCCTCCCCACACAGGCAATTGTTCTGCTCATGCTGGAAAAACAAGATCAATTCATTAGTCTGGGTATTTTATTTTTTAAAATAAGATTTCAGTTTCTGATTTTGCTGGGCATCATAGACTGAGACACTGTGAAACTGTGGGAAAGGCTGCACGTCCCTAAATCAGGCTTTAGCCCACTTGACAGACACAAGGACAGGATAAATTTTGGCCTTCAGGACCAACAGTGGAGTTTGCTGAATGGGCAAATAAAAAAATCTCTCAGTGGACAGAACATTCCTCACATCACACACTTTGTATTCTCATTACAAACCATTTATATAAATAGAGACTTTGCAGCTTTATTAATCTCCCAGGTTAGTTTATAGATTAAATATTAAGAGATGCACTCTGGAGCAGAAGCCAGGACTTACACACTGCCCCAGCTTCCTCCTCGTGCTGAGGAAGGAGTTGGCAATGCTGCTGATTTTCCTGTTCACAAATGAGTCCTCGGTCCTGCAGTGCTTGAAAACCTTGTCCACGTAGAAGGTGAAGAGCTGATAAGTGATGCAGCACCTGTCTGAAGACTTAGAAAATTAATTTAATGATTAAAAGTTCTTCCAAAGGGGTGTAACCCGCAGTCGCTCTCTAGGATAAAGCATCTCTGACAGGAAACTCATGGTAGCTGAGCACAGCAGGACAGTTTGACTCAGAGAAAGCTTCTTCAGTGGTGCTTGATTGAAGCTGATAAAATAGATAGGAAATCATTTTAGGCTGATTTTCCAGGAGATCCATCCTCAGCAAGTCTCACAAAATGAAACCAGCTGATTTTGCAGCTGGGTATCAGAGGCTGATGGACAGTGGCTCCTGCCCTGGGCTTTGGGGTGTGAGAAAGCTGCAAATCACTGATTTGTGATAGATTGCACTTCCCAAGGTCACATTCACCTGCTTTTGGATCCTGTAAGGGCTCCCCAGCCAGGGCCACCTACCTTAACCTTGTGGAGGGAGTGAGGGTGGGACAGGATGCTCAGGGTCCGGATGGGGTCTCTGGATTGCTGCGGAGAGGACGGAGATGGGCATGGAGCTGCTGCTCCAGAGCGGCTCCAGGGGCTCCCCAGCCCTCCAGGAGCCTGGGAAATACTCACAATATTGGCTTTAATTGCCATGAAGCCAGCCCTGATCTCTGTCATGCTCATGGAAACCCTGCAGGCTCCAAAGTGGAAGATTTTGTCCCCAGCTGTCGGCATCAAATTCATCCAGCAGGACACAGAGAAGAAGCAGAGGAACAGGGGGGATCCTCTCATGTCAGCTGCCTGGGAGACCTGCCCATGAAGAGAATATTCCTCCTTATTTTCCTAAATAGCACAACTGTGATCCATATGAAAATACACACATTTTATTTAAAACTCGTACATCTGTATTTAAAACCCCAAACTCATTACTATCTCTTACCCATTTCTTTTTGCTCCCCATGAGCAAGAGAAAA